ATAGAGTGATCAAATTTGAGCAACCTTTTTACCCACGCTATATGTCCATATAGTATGTCTTAATTCTAGAAAGTAAAAATCTTTTCACATTGCTTACATTATCACAAACCGTATATTCCGAAGGTTATATGAGGTTACTGCAGTAGGCGGTTCATTTGATCAATTCCCTTCGGCCTTGTAGTCCATTGTATAGACCATTACTTAACAGACGACTTTAACAGTTAGTTAACGACAACACCATTCTATATAAAAAGCATGATGTGTTTAATATTAATACTGAACACTTCTTTGGTAGAAATCAGGATATAATTGTTTAAGAAACTAGCTCTGCTTCTTAAACTAGAGGCGGGTAGTTGTAGAAAATTAGCGTTTTTTCCTCTTCCTTATCTCTACAATTCCATAAATTTTATAAAGAGAGTAAATCTATCTTGAAATAAGTAAACCTTTTAATTGTTTCCTATCAAATAACGACCGTATTAAGCTTGAAGACAGATAAGTGACTAAACTTGTCAAGACATATTAGTCTTCCGAATGAGACTACTCTTCAATAATAGTTTACAAGTGACAGTATGTATTCCAAAGTACCTTATGTGTAACCTCAGACGAAGATTAATATGGCTAATTCATCGGGCTTCAAATTTCTCTCAATATTGTTCGACCTTGAACTCTTATTAGAAGTACCCTATAAGAGTAGTTTATCTCGATTTGAACTGTCAGACAATCCTGAGCAATTTTGCCTTTAAAATCATTAAGCTCATTGAATGGATAGCTGCCTAGCTATTCAAGTGTATATTTGTGATTGTTTTGATAACAGAATGTCTGCCTAAGTAGACAGCGGCTTTTTTGATTACTAATACTTCTGTCTAATAAACACTACAGTGGTCAAGCGTACGGTTAACAAATTTTAGTCCTTTTGTCCATTGACCTTTAGTCCTAAGTCTTTTAAACAGACCGCAAACCATAATCTTCCGTTAACCTTTGAGCCGTCTATATCAAAATCACGTGTTTGTCACTTTCTTATAGGACCTAGGTCTCAAAATATAGGGATCAATTTATTGCGCATTGATTGCGAGTATTTGGCTAACTTAACCGGTTGAATATAAATATTAGAATTTAACCATTATTCAGTCTTCTATAAATTATCTCAATTATCTTATCACATAGTAATATGAACCTGCTTAAGTAATAAAGAAAAAGTGATGGATTTAAATGTATCCTCAACTTCTTTATTGCTGCTACAGCTAAGCCATAGTATTAGTCTTTCACAGAATACCGTGAGAGAACTCACGGTTTTTTTTTCACTGTTTTCAAGTTATTAACGTCAAGTCGCCTAAATTCAATTTCCACTCCATTTAACCAGCAGAATCGGATTAGTCCACAATTTAATTTTTATGGACGTTCAGCTGATCTGGTATTGCAAATGAAATTTTAGATTCAAACTTCCATGTTATATTATAACCAACCCAGAACTTTATCATTTATTTTGCCCCAGCATTTAGATCAACAATTCTTCTAATGTGTTCAGGTTTAGCGTGCATAGATCCTAGCTGACCTAACTTCACTTCCAAGTATTAAAGGAGGTTTTGCGTTTTATACAGATAGTTTTGTTTCCAATACTGTCGACACTAGTTTTGATTTAAAGCACATCACCAGGAGAAAGAAATTTAGTGTTACGAAAAGTACGAAAATTGGTTTAATCGTAAAAATGTATTGATCATTATGGAAATTCTTGGGAAAATAAATGAACCATTTTCACTGATTAACTACTGTGTTTTCATTGTTAGTCGCAAGACTTAATAGGCAGCCCTCGATATATATATATGTTAATATGTACAAGTTTGTATATACACGACTATTAAACTTTTAATCCATTTATCTGTAAATAGGTCAAATGGCACGCGGAATTGCATTCAGAGCAAGTGAAACTTAATTTCGGCAGTACCGTGAAAAGTGGAAAATGCCATAAAATTTAAAAATGAAAAATGGAAATTTTCAAGGATTTCATTTGAACACAAAACTAAGCCTTTGCTAATTTTCAAGTATGCAACTTAGAGCAAATTTGCTACATTTGTGCTGGTGTTCCATCGCCTTTCACTTTACTTTCTCTCGCTTGCATTGGTTGTAGTGTGCACTCGCGCTCTACTTGCAGTCCAAAAATGTGGCAAAGAAAATTATTTCTTGTACTTGACTTTGTTGGAACATTCCATTTTAACATTATGAAGTGGTTAAATAGCTTCCTTTTACCCTTGGGTCTCGAGTTCAATTTGTAAGCCAAGTTGATGTGGAAATGAGCGGAAATATGTAAGTAGCATGAAGTCAGTGGAAAGTTGCCTTATAATTAAATATATTTCATAACTGAAGTGCGCGTTGTTAAAACTACAAATTAAACAAATTAAGTTGCATTTTTTATTTGTATTTTGTACTGCTGAGTTAACAGCTACTTTTTCATTTTCACAAGTTACTCGTTTTACATGAAAGGAAAATTAAATGCTTTACTAATTAAAAATATATTAAAATCACACTTGTATTAAGGCAATTGAATAAGAATTTAATTATTAATTATTATATATTATTAACAAAAATTGTTAATGATGAAGTGATAAACAATAATCTAGTGAACGCGTAAAGAGGGGTTTTGAAGATACCATACTTCGAGTTAATAAAGAGTAAAAGTGCTCCAGTGCACTGGATCAAATAGCTTCAATATAATAATAAATTTAAGTACACATATTTCAATTATTGTTAGTATTTTAAACGTTAAAATAGTATTAAAGGTGTTCAAATAAATCCTAAGTATTTTGAATTTAGAAT